CCCCTGGATGGGGAGGATCCCCTGGAGAAGGAAATGGAGACCCACTCCAGTATTCTTGCCTGGAGAATCCCCCTGGATGGAGGAGCCTGGTGGGCTACAGTCCATGGGGTCACAAAGATTTGGACATGACTGAATGACTTCACTTTCATTTCACTATTACCATTTTCTTAGAGGTTTTGGGTTTGTTTTGTGTAGGTCTTTTCCTTCTTGTGCTTCCTCCCTAGAGAAGTTCCTTTAGCATTTGTTGTAAAGCTGATTTGGTTATTTAATTAGGTCCCATTTATTTATTTTTACTTTCAACACTCTAGAAAGTGGGTCAAAAAAAGATCTTGCTGTGATTTATGTCAAAGAATGTTTTGCCTATGTTTTTCTCAAAGAGTTTTATAGTGTCTGGCTTTACATTTAGGTCTTTAATCCATTTTAGTTATTTTTGTGTATGGTATTAGGCCTTTTTTTTTTTTTTTCCAATTCTACCAGTTTATTGCTACCAACCCATTTCCCTCCACCCTCCTCATGCGTGCATACTCAGTCATGTAACCCCATGAACTGCAGCCTGCCAGGCTCTTCTGTCCATGGACTTTTCCAGGCAAGAATACTGGAGTGGGATGCCATTTCCTTCTCCATAGGAGGGTGTTCTAATTTCATTCTTTTACATGTAGCTGTCCAATTTTCCCAGCACCATTTATTGAAGAGGCTGTCCTTTCTCTATTGGGTATTCTTGCCTCCTTTGTCATAGATTAGGTGACCATAGGGTAGCACTTCTTTTATTTTTCAGAGTGATTATTTTTTAATTAAGAAAAATTTTATTGAAGTATAACTGATTTATGATCTTGTGTTCATTTCTTCTGTACAGCAAAGTGACTCAGTTATACCTGTATATTCTTTTTCATATTCTTGTCCATTATGGTTTATTACAGGATATTGAATATAGTTCCCCGTGTTCTACAGTAGGACCTTGTTGTTTATCCATCCTGTGTGTAATAGTTTGTATCTACCAACCTCCAACTCCCAGTGCTTCCCTCCCTTACCCCAGCCCCATGCCCTTGGCAACCACATCTATTCTCTATGTCTGTGAGTCTGTTTTGTTGCAGCACCCTTTTAAAAAAAAAAGAAAAAGCTCCATTCAAACTTCACATCTTGTACCTCTTCCATTTGGGGGGGGGGCGTTGTGAAGTGGTTATAGGAGGAGGGGCAAGGGTCTGCGATTGAAGCCTCTTTGGAGTGGGCTTTTTGGGACTCAGTGCAGACTCTGTCCCCAGAGGCCTGAGGTCACATCCTAACCTCTTAGATGTCCTGCCACATGGACTATGTGATCCCACTAGTAAAAATGGACATTCTAAACCCAGGCATTTAAACTGTAATCCTGCTAAATAATTTGTTTCCTGTTTTATATTGTTGATACAGAAGAGGGGGTGGAAAAATCCAGAAATGTTTTCCAGTGCATTTCCTTCCTTCCACCCCCAGTCCTGCTAAAGATACAGCATGGTGCTGGGGTTAGTCCCAAGAACTGCATTTTTATGTGGCCAGGTTCTCTCCTGGTAGAAATGGCATCTTATAATTTCTATAACTACTGTACCAGTACCTGCTGGGTGCACAGAAGGTGCTCAGTACACTTATTGATCTCTTACTGACTTTGTACCCCAGGGCACAGCTCTATGGTGAGGAATGTTGTTGTTCAGTCACTAAGTCCTGCCTGACTCTTTGTGACCCCATGGACTGCAGCACACCAGGCTTCCTTGTCCTTCACCAGCTCCTGGAGTTTGCTCAAACTCTTGTCCATTGAGTCGGTGATGCCATCCAACCATCTCACCTTCTGTCGTCCCCTTCTCCTCCTGCCCTCAATCTTTCCCAGCATGAGGGACCTTTCCAGTGAGTCGGCTCTTCACATCAGGTGGCCAAAGTATTGGCGCTGTGGCCTGATATTATGGTTTACCTGGGAACTTTCACTTCCGTTTTGTCTCCACCTTTTCATCTTTTATCTGCTGAAGTCAAACTCCATCCTCACAACTGAAATTACTCTTCTGGTTGCCAAATATTTTCATTCTGCCAGATGAAGTGTGTGTGTGTGCGTGTGTGTGGAGGTGGGGAGGACATGGATCAGAATGAAAAGCATCTGATGAGTTTAACCATCAATTTCTTGACTGTTTCTCCTTGATGATCCCTTTTCCTGATTCTACTTCTTCCCTCCCTCCACCTCTTTTTTTCCTGCTGGTCTCCTGGTTTGTCTCTAGAGTTTGTCCTCAGCCTTCCCTTTTCTGTCCACACTCTTCCTCACTGAGTTCACTCATTCTTTAGTTCCTGCTCATAGCCCCTGTAGATGGTACCCCTAAATATAAATCTAGAGCTGTTTTTACTCCTCTGTGCCTGGCCTGGATTTCCAGTGATTCACAAAACATCCACACTTACCTGACTGTAAATTCAGAATATCCAACCGTGAATGTATTACTTGCTCACCCCCATCTCCTTTCTCTTCTTAGCTATGCCATTTTAGTTAAAACCCCACTCTTTCCATCACGTGGAAATACAAACTGAGAGGTTATTATCCATGTGTCTTTCTTCCATCTTGTATACCCAGTCTGTCACGAATCTTCCTCAAGAAAACAAGTCTTGTTTTCGAGTCTGTTCCACTGCTGACACCCAGCCTGGCCCCAGCACTGGCTGTTCTCAGGGAGATGGCAGTGATCTGAACAGAGCAGGTCCCTCCCAGCCCCAGCAAGTTCAGCCTTCAGCCCCCTGCCGGCCCCCCACCCCACCTTCCCGATTGTCCAGCCTGTCCCACCTCCTCCTCAAAGCTGCCCTCAACCTTCCCACCCACAGTGAGGAATCCCTTCTCTGAATTCCTACTGCTCTTGCTGTGGGCATCACTTTAGCTACTCTCTGATGTCCTCATGACTATTAGTTTTAGCTCCTCGGCTGGGTTGTAATATCCTCGATGGCCACTTTTATTTGGGCCGAGGGCCATCCACAATGTTGGATGTGCATATCTGTTGTATTATTCATAGTGACTACTACTAATCTACCCGTGTTTGTAATTAAGATACAGTTAGGATAGCACAATGAACCAGGCGCGGCAGCAAGTGCTTTAGATGCATTTGTCATCTAATGAGTGGGCAGTGGGCACACACGTAATTGATTTAAGGAAGACAGTCTTGTTCAGTTGTTCTCCAGTTGTGGGTCTCAGGAAAGTCCTGTTTGCTCTCTGAGACCCAGTCTCCTCATTCACAAAATTGGGAGCTGGATTCCTGCTTTTTTAAGGTTCTTTCCAGTTCCAACACTGTTGTGCAACTTCATGTCAGTCCCCTCGTTTCTAGAGAACTTTTGCTTTGTGCTGTGCGCAGATTTGTTGCTCAGAGAATATAAGGCAAATAGGGCGGTATCCCTGCCCTCAAAGTTGTCCCCGTGCATTGTAGTAACAGGAAGCCAGAGGTATTGGATGGGTGAGGGGGAGGGAGCCGGTTACGTCACTGGGAGAAATAGGGCGATTCCTGAGTTGGTTCTAATTAGAAGCTTCCTGAAGGAGGAGAGATTTCCGTGCAGTTGACTGGTGCAGTGGGAGTACAGAGGCACCTCCTGGCAGAACTGGTGGGCTGAGCAGCGATTCCACAGAGGCCAGGGCAGGCTGTGTTGAAGACCAACCAGCCCGACGTGGTCCTGTGTGCTAAATTTAAAGTGGCGACTGAACCTGTGTTATAGCCACCTACAATGGAAGAATCTCGACTGTGTCAGAAAAGTATGTGGATCCCAGAGGGGTGAGGCATGTGCATATTGGAGATGCACCCTCAGTTAGGATCATTTATTTTGGCATCCTCACAGGCTGAGGCCATAGAGGGTGGGCGGGGGGTGGGGGTGGGGTCAAACCAAGGATGATACATTTGGGTTCTTAACATAATATAATACAGGGAATTACCATGACAATTGGCTAATCCCAGAGATGATAATAACACATGTTTCTTTCTGTCCTCATTTCAATGAGGACCTGAAGGGGTTGGCAAGTATATTCACATGCAACATGATAAAAATATAAGAGATAAAAAATGAGGAAATAAAGGTAGAAATAATAGTTTGAGGCCAGATGAGAAGCGGTCCAAAGCTCTAAATACTTGACCAAAGGTGGGCACATGATTGGAGCTCCACATCTTAGCAATCATGCATTTTTTCCTCGTTGTTCAGTTGCTAAGTTGTGTCCAACTCTTTGTGACACCATGGACTGCAACATGCTAGGCTTCCTTGTCTTCACTATCTCCCAGAGTTTGCCCAAACTCATGTCCATTGAGTCAGTGATGCCATCCAACCATCTCACCCTCTGTTGTCCCCGCTTCTCCTCCTGCTCTCAATCTTTCCCAGCATCAGGGGCTTTTCTAGTGAGTTGGTTCTTCACATCAGGTGGCCAAAGTATTGGAGCTTCAGCATCAGTCCTTCCAATGAATATTCAGGGTTGATTTCCTTTAGGATTGACTGGTTTGATCTCCTTAAGGGGAAGTTCTTATCTGAAATATAGTAATTCAGCATCTCAAAGATTCCAAGCTTGTGTTCAGAGACTTATTCTTACTGATTAGAGAGGTTTTGCATCCTGGATATGGCTGTATGCTTTCATTCACTTTGACTGCTGTTAAGTAAACTCATTAGAAACCAAAACTGAAGGCAAAATGCCCACCCAAGGCTTTGTGGCTGAATGTGTGTGACTGCATTGCAACACACCAGTGATTTTACTTAAGGAAACCCCAGTTCTGAGGTCGAAGAGAATGTCTTCTCTTGAGAAAATGTCATTGTCATTGATGTCAAATGTCACTGTCTCAGCCTACTGCTAAGAAAGGCTTTCCCTTCTGCCTCCTCACCTACCCCCAACACACTTTTCCCCCAGTACACCCTTTTATTCATCAGTGCCATCTGAGAAGGGCCCTCTGCCCGGATCCTTGGGGCTTCACGTGTGAGGGTGATGGAGCAGAGAGACATGGGTGCCAGGTCCCGGCCCTGGTGACCGGCTTTGTTCTTGTTGACAGTGTGAAGCAGCACGAACGCTATGGCCAGCTGACCCTGGTCAACTCCACCGCAGCCGACACGGGCGAGTTCAGCTGCTGGGGACAGCTCTGCACCGGCTACGTCTGCAGGAGGGACGAGGCCAAGACAGGCTCCACCTACATCTTCTTCACAGGTAAGAGGCTGGCTGCATTGGCAGAACTCTCCAGACTTCTGGACTTGCCCATATTAAAGGTTCCCTCTGTCTGCCGATTATCAGATAAGGACAATGAGAACACTCCCTGTTTCCCAGACTCTGAAAAGCTCAGGCTTTACATCTATTATTTCATGTAAGTCTTGCAATAACTCTTCAGGGTAAGTGTGTGTGTATGTGTGTGCATATATATATATATATATATATGTACTTTTTTTCAGTGAGAAAGTTGAGGTTGAGGGAGATAAGTAAGTCCTTCAGTCAGATGGCAGGAGGTGGCTGGACCAGCATTTGCACCCAGAACTGTCTGGTCCCAGAGTCTGTACTTGCATTGTCCAATATGGCAGCCAGCAGATGTGTGGTGGCACTAGCGGTAAAGACTCTGCCTGCCAATTCAGGAGGTTTAAGAGATGCAGGCTCTACCCCTGGATTGGGAAGATCCCCTGGAGAAGGAAATTGCAACTCACTCCAGGATACTTGCCTGGAGAATCCCTATGGACAGAGGAGCTTGGCAGGTAACAGTCCGTGGCGTCACAGACAGTCAGACGGACTGAGTGACTAAGCACACACATAAGACTTAATAACCGATCTGCTGTGTCAGGGGAAGGACTGAAGGCAGGAGGAGAAGGGGACGCCAGAGGATGAGATGGTTGGGTGGCATCACCACCTCAATGGACATGAGTTTGAGCAGGCTGCAGGAGTTGGTGATGGACATGGAAGCCTGGCATGCTGCAGTCCATGGGGTTGCAAAGAGTCGGGCATGACTGAGTGACTGAACTGACTGACTGATGTCAAGGGAAAGAAGATGGTATGGGCGTGGATTTGAGACTATGGATTTGAAGTTGAGGTGTGTGTGACTATTCAAATGTCATTGGGGATTAGTTAAAATTAAATAAGGTCAAGACTTCTCTGGCAGCCCAGTAGTTAAGACTCTGTGCTTCCAATGCAGGTTCAACCCCTGGTCAGGGAACTAAGATCTCGCATGCCATGAGGCACAGCCAAAAGAAAAAAAAATGTTCTCTACCATGCCAAGGCTATACAAATATTTTTTTTTAAATTCTTTTAAATTAAACAAAGCTAAAAATTCAGTATCCCAGTGACCCTTGCCATGTTTCAAGTGCTTCATTGGCACCTGTGGCCAGTCTCTACCCTCCTGGACAGTGGATTCAGAACAGCCATCAGCACAGAGGGCTCGAGCATGGCCTGGCTGTAGACATCCAGTCACTGCGCTCTCACAATCTCTGGTGACCTCCTTTCTGGAGCTGCCGTTGTCAGAGAATGCCTGGCTGACGGTCTCCTTGAGTTTGTCCTTGTGAGTACCACGAGCTGAGGTTTGGGACAGCGTTCCACAGGCTGGAGTGGCTCCAACCCTGATACCTGCGCCCAAGTGTCGGTCCTTGGTCAATCCTGGCACACCGAGGCCTTGACACTGCAGGCCAGGGGCCTCTCCTCCCCTGCAGGGCCAGGGCCAGGTTTGCCAGTTGGAACTTGCTTGGAGAAGCAGGCGCTGCAGGGTGGCTTGCCAGCCTTTTCCACTGCCGAGCTCTCTATGTTCTAAGGTTTGGGGAAGGTGTTCTCCAGCAAGGCTCAGAGGTCAGGGACAGCTTTCCAGAATCTTTCAAATGCCCCAGTGCTGCTGGTGTCTGAGGCGTTTCAGGTGGGTCCAGGAGGCCGCCTTAGTGTCTGGGCAGGCTCTGTCATGAGGTTTGTCTACATCCTGAATCTATCTGTTGTACCTGTAGATTTCCCGTGACTCAGATCTACAGCTCAGATGACTGTAGGCTCTAACCTTTAATGAACACTTCAGCAAAATCTCACACATTCTCCCATCCTGCCCAAAGAGCTCCTCTCTGGCAAGCAGATACATCAGCAGAGTGCTCTGTGATTCCGGAGACACATGCATCTCATTTAATTTCCACAACGCTTGGAGGAAATTAGAAGAAGCTACCTAATTATCTCTTTTTTAGAAATAATCAGGGAAGCTTCCCTGATAGCTTAGTGGGTTAAGAATCTGCCTGCGATACAGGAGACACAGGAGATGTAGGTTCGATCCCTGGGTTGGGAAGATCCTCCGGAGCAGGGAATGGCAACCCACCCTAGTGTTCTTGCCTGGAAATCCCATGGACAGAGGCGCCTGGTGGGCTACAGTCCATGGGGTTGCAAAGAGTTGGACATAACTGAGCGACTCTGCACACTAGAAATAATAATGCTGATGCTAAGATAAAACAGGGCAAGGTGACTTGTTCCACATTCCTTCACTTCAAGCAGTGGAGTGAAGAGTCAGATCCCTTTTTTTCTGGTCCAGGATCCAGTGTTCTTACTGCCTTAACCCACTGATTGATTGATTGATTGATCAACTGACTTGTTGGCTGATTGACTACTGTGCTGGGTCTTAGTTGCAGGAAGTAAATTGTTAGTTGCAACATGTGGGATCTAGTTCCCTGACCAGGGATCGAACCTGGGCCCCCTGCATTAGGATCATGGAGTCCTAGCCACTGGACCACCAGGGAAGTCCCTTAACCTATTTTTTAAATAGGTTAGAAATTAGGTTATGTGTGTCTGGAAAGATTGACAGACACACATAAGCTAGCATACTGGCATTGTCAGGATTGCTAACAGGTGTTCATGGGCCATTGCTTCTGAGCCTCATTCTGGATTGTGCCACCCACAAGTTCCCATGTGCCCATAGAATGGTACCACACTAGGAAGCAGCAGTGGAAAGATTAATTAAGACTCACAGGATCTGTTATTCTGGACAAGGACTGATGCCATGTTTCAAGTTGCAGAATGAAAATTCTTTGCTGTGATTAGCACTGTTGTGTCTTCCCCAAATAATGGTTATTAAAACTGAGATTACTGAAGACCTAACTTTGAGCAGAAAGTCTCCTTGGGTAATAGGTTCTCTGAGTTCTGGAGGCAGATCCTCTTTCTTAATTTATGGAAGCCCTTTTGTGTATCACAGGAAGGCTGAAAAATAAACATTTCAACTTTCAAAAAAACCTGCATGAGAGATGTGACTTAATGGATTGTATTGTTTTCTTATTCCTCAACACTGAGAGTCCAGTTGAATTTTCAGGATAGGGTTTAGCGCTTTGTCTTTTCAGGCATTAGAGAACCAAGATGGGCTGTTATGGAGGCTGTTGGCTCTGGAGTCTCTCAGAACATGTGCTTCCCCACCACCCACACAGAGAAACGTCTGGCATCCATTATGTGTGTGTGTTTCCTAGAGTTTGATTGTAAACACTGTGAAGCTTCTTTTGACTGTTAATTTGTTCAATTTTTGATTAAGCAACTGCTACAAGTTATATTTATATTCAGTCTTCATCCAGGAGGTTCTCAGAGGGTTTTTTCCCTCCTCTGCTCTAACTTTGTATTGAAGTATGACTTATACTAAGGGAAATACATAAATCACAACTCTGCAGCTTAGTGAATGATCCTCAAGTTAACCACCTCCAGATCATGTAACCACCTCCCAGATCAAGACCAGGGGGTGGGGTGCGGGGAAACGTTACCAGCAGCAGGGCTTCCTCATAGTAAGAGGCATGGGCTCCAGTTTACACGTGTGGTAAACCATATGAACCAGCACTTTACCAAGTATGGAGTTTGTTATAACTTGGATTTTAGTTTATAGCCTATTAACTCTAATGTTTTTGAAATCTTACATTTCTGTGTGTTTTGTTTTTTAAAGCAATGTTTGTCATCCACTTGAGTAGATACCAAGCATATTTGTAGAGGCATTTGTGATCTATAATTTTAAATATAAACTTGAACACATTTTTTTTTGGTAGATGGATTCTACTGATGGCAGAATTTTTTTACTTTAAAAGAAATTCAGTTTTCACAATTTATCAAGTTACAACAATTCAACTGAATTAATAAAAATATGTTTATGCTCAATAAATGTCCAGGAATGAATAAATGAAAATTGGACAGATTTAATTTATAGATAGTAATTTGCTTACTCATTCAAATATTCTTTCTGCAGCCTTGCTTACTTCATTCACTTGGCAAATACATTTTATTTTTCTGTTGGTTAAGGCAACTGGTGTGGTCCCTTCTTTCAAAACATGGATTAGAGTATAGGAAATAAGGCCTCATTTTTGTGTTCTGAAATTCAAATTGTTCACTTATTCTACTGGCTTTGCACGCACATTGGTTCAGATTCCTGTTGTTGTTCAGTTACCAAGTCTTGCCAGACTCCTTGAGACCCCACTGCCTGCAGCATTCCAGGCTTCCCTATCCCTCGTCATCTCCTGCAGTTTGACCAAGTTCATGTCCATTGATTTGGTGATGCCATCCAACCATCTCATCCTGTGTCGTCCCCTTCTCCTCCTGCCTTCAATCTTTCCCAGCATCAGGGTCTTTTCCAATGAGTCAGTTCTTTGTATCAGGTGGCCAAAGTATTGGAGTTTAAGCTTCAGCATCAGTCCTTCCAATGAATATTCAGGACTGATTTCCTTTAGGATTGACTGGCTGGATCTCCTTGCAGTCCAAGGGACTCTCAAGAGTCTTTTCCAGCACCACAGTTCAAAAGCATCAATTCTTTGGTGCTCAGCTTTCTTTATGGTCCAGCTCTCACATCCATACATGACCACTAGAAAAACCATAGCGTTGACATTTGTCAGGAAAGCAATGTCTTTTCTTTTTAACACACTGTCTAGGTTTGTCATAGCTTTCTTGCCAGAAAGCAGTTGTCTTTTAATTTCATGGCTGCAGTCACCATCCTCAGTGGNGGCTGTACTAATTTGCATTCCCACCAACAGTGTAAGAGGGTTCCCTTTTCTCCACACCCTCTCCAGCATTTATTGCTTGTAGACTTTTGGATAGCAGCCATCCTGACAACCCAAAACCTATGGGACACTGTAAAAGCAGTGCTAAGGGGAAGGTTCATAGCATTACAGGCTTACCTCAAGAAACAAGAAAAAAGTCAAATAAATAACCTAACTCTACACCTAAATCAACTAGAGAAGGAAGAAATGAAGAACCTCAGGGTTAGTAGAAGGAAAGAAATCTTAAAAATTAGGGCAGAAATAAATGCAAAAGAAACTGAAGAGACCATAGCAAAAGATGATACCACTTTAATGGCAGAAAGTGAAGAGGAACTAAAGAGCCTCTTGATGAAGGTGAAAGAGAAGATTGGAAAACCTGGCTTAGAACTCAACATTCAAAAAACAAAGATTATGGCATCTGGTTCTATCACTTCGTGACAAATAGATGGGGAAAATGTGGAGACAGTGTCAGATTTCATTTTATTGGTCTCCAAAATCAATGTGGATGGTGACTGTAGCCACAAAATTAAAAGATGCTTGCTCTTTGAAAGAATAGTGGTGAGAAACCTCGACAGCATATTAAAAAGCAGAGACATCACTTTGCTGACAAAAGTCTAAATAATCAAAGCTATGGTTTTTCCAGTAGTCATGTATGGATGTGAGAGTTGGACCACAAAGAAGGCTGAGTGCTGAAGAATTGATGCTTCAAACTGTGGTGATGGAGAAGACTCTTGAGAGTCCCTTGGACAGCTAGGAGATCAAACTAGTCAGTCCTAAAGGAAATCAACTCTTAATATTCATTGGAAGGACTGATACTGAGGCTGAAGCTCCAATACTTTGGCCACCTGATGCAAAGAACTGACACATTGGAAAAGACCCTGATGCTGGGAAAGACTGAAGGCAGGAGGAGAGGGGGATGACAGAGGATGAGATGGTTGGATGACATCAGTGGACTCAATGAACGTGAGTCTGAGCAAGCTCCAGGAGTTGGTGATGGACAGGAAAGCCTGGAATGCTGCAGGCAGTGAGGTCTCAAAGAGTCGGACATGACTGAGCGACTGAACTGAACTGACTGACAAAGAGATCTTTAATACAAATGCTCCAGATTCTCCTCTTTAGAAACAGGGATACTGAAGCACAGAGAGATGAAGTGACAGATTCAAGGCCACATGGACTTACTCCATTTGAACACAGGGGTGTCAGGTAAGATATTGACCAAGGTAGCCTTGCCTAAGCCTGAAAGGTAACATATTGTAAAGTGGCGCAAATTGCCTGGCCTGATGGAAGGTCTTACAAAAGGTGGAGATTTCCTGAGCCATGAGTCCATGTTAGAGATGCTGGTATTATTAAAAATATTATAATACTTATAGGCAAAGAACTCTTGGCCCGTGAAGGCATTTGCTATTGTGTCCAGGAATTCTGTTCTCAATGTAAAAAACAGTCATACAACTAGGGCACAAAGGCTAGTGAAGCAAGCCAAGAATAACTGTTTCAGAAATATGGTTGGAAAACATAGGAGACAATTGAACAAAGGTTAGGGTGTGATTCAGTTCAATGATTTCTCTTAGCAATCACTATAATCTCTCATGGAATGATCCAGAAAACAAAGTATTTAATGTTTCATGCCCCAAACAAAAAAACACCCCCCACAATCCAGAGTCCCTTGACCGTGCTGAGCAAAGTACAGGGAAACCAGTTCTCATTTCTGTGTGATAAAAATGCCATCACCAGAACTTCTCTGGTGGTCCAGTGGCTAAGACTTTGCACTCTCAGTGCAGTAGGCCTGGGTTCAATCCCTGCTCAGGGCACTAGATCCCATAGGCCTTAACTGGAAAAAAAAAAGCCACCATCAAGAGCTTAAAGAACATGCAGGGTGAATTCTCAGGGAACAGGTAAAGTGTAAGAAACAGGCTGAAGGTCCGCAGCCCAGTGGCCGCCAAAATAGAGCTCAGAACCTGAGACTAGCTGGCTCCTCGTGTGTCCCTGCTTAATTCTCTTTCCATTCACCTCGGGCAGAAATGAGGTCCCCTGGGCTGTGAGGACACCGGCACCACATCGGGCCTGGCTCAGAGAGGCTCGCTGGGCGGGGAAGTCCCTCCCAGTTACTGAGCGAGGGCTGTGGGGCTGACCTCTCTAGAGACACGGCAGAGGGTTCCTAGGTGTTAAAACTGCTCTGAGCACAGGGAAACCGGTCCCCTTCACTGCTTCCTCAGTGGGGTAAACCAGTGGGCCTGATGTGGGCTTGAAGTAATACTGATTTTGTTTCAAGAAGATAGGAAGTAATATCCTTTATCCAAAAAAGGAAACTCATTTTTTAACAACTTACTGACCAGAGACATATTAATAAGTCTTTTGTTACCCACGCTGATGGCCACAGGCATTAGTTTCTGCAAAAATCCCCTGGTCAGGAATGTATTAAAATGAAAGTGAAAGAAAGTGTTAGTTGCTCAGCCCTGTCCGACTCTTTGCTACCCCACGGACGGTAGCCCACCAGGCTCCTCTGTCCATGGGATTCTCCAGGTGAGAATACTGGAGTGGGTTGCCATTCCCTTCTCCAGGGGAGATTCCCCACCCAGGGATGGAGCCCAGTTCTCCTGAATTGCAGGCAGATTCTTTACCTTCTGAGCTACCAGGAAAGCCCTTAATATGTTAAAATAGCCTTTTCAATTCCTAAGGACTCCATGTTTGGAGTACACTGCCAATCGCCTCTCATCCTCCTGCCCTGAATATAAGCATCCCTTTAAGTGTTCTCACCCTGTTTCTCCATGTTAAATGAGCCCGTATCTTTCCCTTCGCAGAGAAAGGCGAACTCTTCGTACCTTCGCCCAGTCACTTTGATGTCGTCTACCTGAACCCGGACAGGCAGGCTGTGGTTCCTTGCCGAGTGACCGTCCTGTCGGCCAAGGTCACCCTCCACAGGGAGTTCCCGGCCAAGGAGATCCCGGCCAACGGAACGGACATCGTTTACGACCTGAAGAGAGGCTTTGTGTATCTGCAGCCTCACTCCGGCCACCAGGGGGTGGTCTACTGCAAGGCGGAGGCGGGGGGCAAGTCTCAGATCTCCGTCAAGTACCAGCTGCTCTACGCGCAGGGTAAGCCCTTCCGGAGCGAGACGCGAGCCCCTTCCGCTGGTCAGTGTGGGGTACCGCTCTCCCCAGATGGCGGGAGAGTAGGAGGCACAGATGGCTGTTCTTAAAGGCTCCTCTGCAGCGCTGTCATTTCTAGAATGTTCTACATTCTTTCCTATGACCCCCCACCCCCCCACCCCAACTCCCTTTTCTTCAGCTCCTTCCAGCGTGCTCTCTGGTCCAGGCTCCGTGTGTGATCAGCAGCAGGCCACATCCCCGCGGCATCCTCCCGCGCTCTCCATCCTGGCTGCTGGCGCCAGGGGCGGGGGGTGGGAGGCGCCTCCCCCGACCTCCAGGACCAAAGGCTCCCTGGCCAGCCCTGCGAGGGAGGAGAGGAGGGTCTCTCTTCTGTTTTCACTCGGAGCACTCTGACATGAGCCCGGTTGACTGTCCTCGTGTGAGGCAGAGTGATCTGCAGCCGTGTTCCTGCCCAGGCATTTCTGCGATCGGATGGGTGGCCCCAGAGCTGACTGCTCTCCGAGAAGGGAATTTGGGCTCCTTCAGGACTCTGGGTCTCAGCCCTGGGGCTTATTCATGAGGCCACAGCTTCCAACACTCTGCTGTCAAATAACTCTCTCAAGCCTCCTTTCGCCACCCTGGGCTGCAGTCATCTCTCTCCTCCGTCACAGCCAGGCTCCCTCAAAGAGCCCTCCCCGGCCCCCGTCGGGGTGCTTCCCTCCCACCCGGCTCCTCGGTCTTCTCCCCTAGCTCCACCAAGGCAGCCTTGGCTAGAGGGCCTCCTAGGCCATTAAGTTCAGCAGACAGCTTCCTGTCCTCGTCCTTCTAGGTTTTACCTCGCCTACAAAAAAGCCCCTCTTCCCTGGTCCCGTTGCTCCTGCTGCTTTAGCCACAGCATTCTTATTATCTTTGCCAGTTCTTTGCCTCTTGCAGGTTTTTTCTTTTGTTAATTTTTACTGGACTATAGTAGTCTTGCCTGGAGAATCCCATGGACGGAGGAGCCTGGTGGGCTACAGTCCACGGGCTCGCAAAGAGTCGGACACGACTGAGCAACTTCACTTTCACTTTCATAGTTGATTTACAATCTTGTGCTAGTTTCAGGTGTATAGCAAAGTGAATCATTTATGCATATACATATATCCACTCTTTTTAGATAGATTCTTTTCCCATATAGGGCACTGCAGAGTATTGAATAGAGTTCCCTGTGCTATACAGTAGGTCCTTATTAGTTATCTATTTTATATTTAGTACTGTGTATATGTCAAGTCCAATCTCCCAATTTATCCCTCCCCTGCTTTTTCCCCCTAGTAACCATAGATTTTTTTTTTATGTCTGTGATTCTATTTCTGTTTTGTAAATAAGTTCATTTGTAACATTTTTCTAGATTCCACATATAAGTGATATCATATGATATTTGGCTTTCTCTGTCTGACTTTACTCAGTATGACAATCTCTAGGTCCATCCATTTTGCGGCAAATGGCATTATTCTTTTTTTACTGCTGAGTAATATTCCACTGTGTATAGATGTTCCACATCTTCTTTATCCATTCCTCTGTCAATGACACTTAGGTTGCTTTCATGTCTTGACTATTGTAAATAGTACTGCAATGAATAACTGGGTACATCTATCCTTTTGAATTATGGTTTTCTCTGGATATGTGCCCAGAAGTAGGATTGCTGTATCATTTGGTAGTTCTTTATTTAATTTTTTAAAGAAACAGCCATACTGTTTTCCATACTGTTGTAACAATTTACAGTCCCGTCAACAGAATGGGAGGGTTCCTTCTCCACACCCTATCCAGCATTTCTTGTTTGTAGATTTTTTGATGATGGCCATCCTGATTGGTGTGAAGTGATACCTCGTTGTAGTTTTGATTTGCATTTCTCTAGCAAACAGTGACATTGAATATCTTTTCATGTGATTTTTGGCCATCTATATGTCTTCTTGGAGACATGCTTATTTAGATCTTCTACCCATTTTTGATTGGGTTGTTATTTTGATAAGGCGTTACATGAGCAGATTGTATGTTTTGGAGATTAATCCTTTGTCAATCACTTTGTTTACAAACATTTTGTCCCATTTTGTGGGTTTTTTCATTGTGTTTATGGCTTCCTTTGCTCTGTGAAAGTTTTTAGGTTTAATTAGGCCCTATTTATTTATACTTGTTTTTATTTTTGTGACTCTAGGAGGTGGATCAAAAAGGATCTTGCTGTAATTTATGTCAGAGAGTGTTCTGCCTGTGTTTTCCTCTAAGAGTTTTATAGTATCCAGACTTACATTTAGGTCTTTAATGCATTTTGAGTTTATTTTTGTGTATGGTGTTAGGAGGTGTTCTAATTTCATTCTTTAAATGTAGCAATCCAGTTTTCCCTCACTACTTATTGAAGAGATAGTCTCGTCTCCATTGTACAGTCTTGCCTCTTTTGTCATGGATTAGGTGACCATAGGTGCTTGGGTTTATCTCTGGAGTTTCTGTCCTATTCCATTGATCTATATTTCTGTTTTTGTGCCAGAATCATATTATTTTGATTACTGTGGCTTTGTAGTAAAGTCTGAAGTCAGGGAGGCTGATTCCTCCAGTTCCATTTTCCCTCAAAATTGCTTTGACTATTCAGGGTCTTTTGTGTTTCCATATAAATTTAAAAGGTTTTTGTTCTAATTCTGTGAAAAATGCCATTGGTAATTTGATAGAAATTGCATTTATATCCGTAGATTACTTTGGGTAGTACAGTCATTTTGACAATGACATGGTATCTCTCTCCTTTGGTATGTGTCATTTTTTATTTCTTTCATTAGCATCTTATGGGGCTTCCCTGATAGCTCAGATGATAAAGAATCTGCCTGCAGTGCAGGAGACCTGGGTTCGATCCCTGGTTCGGGAAGATCCCCTGGAGAAGAGGATGGCAACCCACTCCAGTATTCTTGCCTGGAGAATCCCAAGTTCAGAAGAGCCTGGCAGGCTACAGTCTATAGGATCGCAAAGAGTTGGACACGACTGATACTTTCACTTTCACACTTTTCAGCAACTTATAGTTTTCTGAATACAGGTCTTTTGCCTCTTTAGGTAAGTTTATTCCTAGGTATTTTATTCTTTTTGGTGTGATGGTAAATGGGATTGTTTCCTTAATTTCTCTTTCTGATCTCTCATTATTAGTATATGGGAAAGCAATAGATTTCTGTGTATTTTTTTATATCCTGCAAATTTACCAAATTCATTGATGAGCCCTAGTAGTTTTCTGGCAGTATCTTTAGGATTTTGATGTTTAGTATCATGTCATCTGCAAACAGTGATAGTTTTACTTCTCCCTTTCAGTTTAGATTCATTTCATTTCTTTTTCTTCTCTGCTGTGGCTAGGACTTCCAAATCTATGCTGAAGAATAGTGGTGAGAGTAAACACCCTTGTCTTGTTCCTGACCTTATTGGAACTGCTTTCAGTTTTTCACCACTGAGAAAGATGTCAGTTGTGGGTTTGTCATATATGGCCTTTATTATGTTGAGGTAATATAATAATTACCTGTGCCCACTTAATGGACAGTTTTTATCATAAATGGGCATTGAATTTTGTCAAAAGCTTTTTCTGCATCTATTGAGATGATCATATGGTTTTTATTTAGTTTGTTAATATGATGTATCACATTAATTCGTGTACATTGAAGAATCCTTGAATCCCTGGGATAAATCCCACTTGATCATAGTGTATGATCCTTTTAATGTGTTGTTGGATTTGGCTTGCAAGTATTTTGTTGAGGACTTTTATGTCTATGTTCATCAGTAATATCAGCCTGTCATTTTCCTTTTTTGTGACATCTTTATCTGGTTTTGGTATCAGGGTGATGGAGGCTTCATAGAATGAGCTGCCTCTCCTAGCTCTTAAATTTGGAGTTCCCCCAGGCACTTTCTTTGTCCCCCGTGCTCCTCCTGGGTGGTCTCGACCATAGCCACACTCTGCTGCATGTTTGTTTACTAATCACTCCCAGGGGAATGGATGTGGCCTGGATCTGGATGCGCCAGCTTCCTGTACCCGACTGTCTCTCTAACATCTACACTGAGCTGCTTCACAGGCCCTTTCCTGAGCTCTGGGCCTTCCTTCCAGGCCTGGTTCTTCAGTTGCCCTCATCCCAGTGATGGCGCTGCAGTTCCGGGGTGCAGGAACCCGAAACACTCCCAGCTCCTCCCAGTCCTGACTCTTTCCATCAAAGCCCCTGAATTCTGCTGTCCATCCTACTGCAAAAAGAGTTCAACTATCATCACTTCTTCCTTAGTCTAACATGAGTACCTTTCCAATCGGTCCCTTCCATGCCCACGCTTTCTCCATCTTCCACCCAGTAACTGATTATTAGTCCCGTTAAAACCATTCTGTGGGCTAAATAAACCACTGAACCAATGAACCTCTGAACTAATGAACTTTTCCTAGAACCAAAGTAAAAATCTTCCATATGGCTTGAAAGGTCTTGCAGGGCTGGCCTCTGCCCTCCCCAGAGTTCCCCTCTACTCCCCTCGGAGCCTGTCTGCTGGCCCCTCCCTTTTTCCCTGCAAGCCTTCAGATTTTAGTCCAAACATCACTTAAGGAAACCTTTCATGCTTCTCAGACCATCCTGAACTTCCGCGGCACCCTGGGCTTCTCCTTCGGTTCTTCCCACAGCTCAGGCCCGCCACACAGTGACCTTTTCAGGGTGCACCTCCTCCGCTGGAATGGAGGCCCCGGGGCTCAGAGACCATGTCTGGCTGGCTCCCTGCCTTACCCTCCTCTCCCAGCACATTCCTGGATCCATGCTGCACTCGAAGCTACTTTAGTAGACTGAGCCTGATGAAGAATGTTGTCTCTGCAGTGCCGCTAAGGAGAGATCCCACACGCCCGTCCTGCAAGCGTCTGTCCCGTTGGTGGATTCTGACTCGCTCCTCTTCGTCCTGAGGCTGCTAAGCCATTTGCCTGTCTGTCCCTCTTCCTCTGTTGGTGGTCCTCCCTCCAGACCACCTTCTCTTCCTTCCCCTTGTTCTGCTCCCAAGCCCCTTCTTCTCTCTCCACCTCTGCTCCTCGCAGATCTTCTGGGCTCCTCTCATTACAAATGGAATGTTTGGGGGCTTCTGGATGTCCACCCCATTCCATCATAAAACTCCAGATAGTGGACAGAGCAGGCCTGATGCTAGTTGGGCAGCTGAAGAAAGGCAGGGATGTCCCATATCTGCCCAGAGAAGAGAACACGCCTGTTGGTTTGTGTCTGCTACCCTTGCCCATGGATGTCCTCTCACGCCGCTGTCCCCTGCTCACTTCCAGTTCCCAGTGGCCCTCCGTCAACGACCATCTTGGCCTCTGCGAACAAAGTGCAGGGGGGAGATGATGTGAGTGTCCTCTGCACAGTCCTGGGGGAGCCAGATGTGGAGGTGGAATTCAAGTGGACCTACCCAGGGCAGAAGGTAAGCATGCACTGGTGTGCTCCTAAGATGTTTCAGTATGTTTATATTCGGTTGTCCAAAAAGTTCATTCAGGTTTTTCCCTGTTATAGAAAAACCCAAAGGAACTTTGTGGCCAATCCAATAAATGCATTTTTATTTTTTTTAGAATAGGAAAAAAAAAGTGACTGGGTTCCATTAGGTAATTTAGTTAATGTACCCTCTTTTGTATTAGCTTTCTTCATGACCCCAAAGGAAGGGGACAGGGGCAAGAACAGGAAAGAAGAGGGTCTCCTTTCTTCAACCCCAATCTCAATTTGCAGTCTTAATTTTGGGTCAGTTGGAGGCTAGTCTATCTTCCTTCTGGAGTCCTTTAGCCTTCTCCATGTAAAAGCTGGTCCCTGGGGCAAAGAGCTCTTAGCAGACACCCACCAAGTTGGCATGTAAACCCAGGTCTTGGAAAAGGTGCCGTGAGGCTGAGATTATCTTAAAATAGACTTGCCAAAAACGCAGCTCCAGCACATGCAGCCATGGGCCTGTCCTGCTCACTAAAATAGACAGCCTCACTACCAACATGGAACAATCCCCTTGTTGCCAGAAGAGATCTGGATCTGGCATCCTAAGATGTGCTTGGCAGCCAATACGCTTCTGGTCGAAGGGCTGAGATTGGGGGAAAATAACTCTCCTGGAGAATGGTGCTTTCCCAGTGCTAAGTACTTGTTTCTGAAGTGCTGTCCCATTTAGAAGACATTAATGGCTTGCATGAGAGGTTTTTTGGTTTCTTTACATTGCTAATTATTAGCAGAAAGGGTATTAATTCAGTAATACTATAAATATTACAACTGTGTTAAACTAATTCAGAATACACTACATATCACCGAAGTTGGAAGAAGCATCTCAGAAGTGACCATCTCACTTTCTAGAAATAGGGAGTGAAGTCACCTCGGGTATAATTTTATCCAGCCCGGGCACAGCTTTTCGCCCACTGCAGTCCTAGGGCACATTTGACTAATCGTGTCTCCCTCCCCCAAATCTGAGTAATTGAGAGCTCATATTCATTTACAAGGTGAGAGCTTCGGGCTTCTAAGTTCTGTAAGAACCACTGCGCCAAGGGGTGAACGTGAGCAGTGTCAACAGCAGAGCAGTGGAAAAATTTATCTGTATCTTTATGCCTAATACCAGCCCCACATTCTTGAAGTTCCAAAAGAGTAAAATTTATATTAAGTAGAAACTTGAAGAAAAGGGCAGGAAGAGAGAGCCAAACAGCATGATGAAATTCAAGACTCTGCTTGGAAAAGAAAAAATGCAGCCTAAACTGACTAGACAGTGTCAGAGCTCCCATGAGCTGCGCATACCAAATAGTCCTGTAGGAGCATGGGTTTTGCGCTTTGAAAGGGATACTCAGCAGTGGCAGATGAATGGGAGCTGTTGAGAGTGGCGCGTGGTTTGTGCTCCAGCCCCCGTGGGTGTCGTTCAACAGGATGAAAGGCCCGTGACGATTCAGGACTCCTGGCGGCTGATCCACAGAGGACTTGGGCACACCACACGGATCTCCCAGAGTGTCCTGAGCATTGAAGACTTTGAGACCATTGACGCAGGTTATTACATTTGCACTGCTCAGAATCTCCAGGGACAGACCACAGTAGCCACCACTGTGGAGTCTTCCTGACTTGGAAGATGAAGTATAAATGAACTGACGGAAAGCCCACTGGTGTCCGCAACCAGCTCCGGGGTTCTTTGTCTTTGCCAGGGCCAAACCCCAGGCTCTGCCTTGAGTCAGACCCAGACCTCCAAACTAAAAGGAAGTCATCCGGTCTAATTATAGAAGTGTTAACTCTCCTAGCAGAAAACATGTATTCTGACTGCTGACCTACGTATATGCATTTCTAGTGCTTCTACTCAGAAGGCATATATGTAAACAACTTATATAATCATTTCTATTAAAGAAGCAAGTTTTTGTAAAAAGTTAAAAAAAAAAAGGGGGCTAAGTGCTTGTTGTTTAAGTCTGCTTGAAGTACACCCAGAAGCATCCAGAAGTACATCCAGAAGCACTCGTTGGCAGCAATGCTTGAGTCAATACCTAATATTGCCTTGGGTATCATAACCACACTATGAGAGAATCTAAAAATGTAGTGATTTTGTATGTATAGTTCAACTATACATGAACTATTGTATGATATGAAAAATCAAAAAATACCATATAAACTTTTTTTTTAAACTGCTGCACTCAGAATTACTAGTTCTAGATTAGACATTTAGTAAGAACAGCAGCATTTTTTTTTTTTTAAAGATCATCAGGTTGTCCTGGGTCTTCGTTGCTGCACGTGGGCCTTCTCTAGCTGCGGGGAGCAGGGGCTGTTGTTCACTGCCTGGCACTGACTTCTCGTTGCAGTGGTTTCTCGCCTCTCGTTGCGGAGCACAGGCTCTAGGCGCGTGGGCTTCAATAGTCGCAGCTCGCAGGCTCTAGAGCACTGGCCCAGCTGCTCTGCGGCATGTGGGATCTGCCCCAAACAGGTATCGAAACAGTGTCCCTGGCATTGCAAGGTGGCTTCTTAACTACTGGACCACCAAGGAAGCCCAGTATGTGTTTTTAAATGTTTAACTTTCAATATAAAATAGATGCACAGGTTAAGGAAGATTCCATTTTGTTTAGGCTTATTTTTACCATCTTCAAAATATGTAGACTGTAGCTGTTCCAATTTTCTTATCTTATACAGCAGAAACTATCATTAAAACCAGTAAAAGTTTATTATTTCTCAAATACCCGTAGCTCTGAATTTAGAAAATCTTGAAGTCTTAGCTCTGAGAGGTAAATTTCAGCTCATGTCCGATTTTGTGGTTGCATTGGAAATTCCTAGGAAATAGGTTAAGAGGAGATAATTCCTATGGTGTAAACTAGATAACACTTTGGAGAGTGAACTATGTCAGAGGATGCAACCCTTATATAGAATATTCCAGCATTATTTATTTGATTAAAATACTTTCCATCACTCCAAACTGAGCACAACTATGGTTGTTTACACACTCATGTTTTTATGATGTGCCAACATTTTGCATCCTAAGTGGTAACAGTTGGTTTCAAAATAATTTTAAAGTTCTGTTTTATTTCCTCTCATCATCATCTCCCATTCTCTGAAGATGTTTTGTATTAACTGTGTCAGAATGATTACCCCAGACACTTAAATGGCATGGAGGACACAGGGAACAGCACAAGATTTACCATGTGCAGGGAATGGAATGACAAACCCCACTTTGGCTAATGACGTTGAGGACAGATTGGAAAGTGAGCAGAGAGAGATTCCAGGAGGTGGCAGTGAACCTATGTTCCCGTTTATCAGAAATGAACATGAAAGGTTACATACGTAATCAAGTGTCAGAGGTTAAAGACTTTAGAAACAATCACTAGTAAAACAAACAATGCATCATGAATATCAGTCCACTGTGTCAGTTCAGTTGCTCAGTCATGTCTGACTCTTTGTGACCCCATGGACTGCAGCATGCCAGGCTTCCCTGTCCATCACCAACTCCCAGAGCTTGCTCAGACTCATGCCCATCGANATTTCTCCTGGCAATCTTGATTCCAGCTTGTGCTTCATCCAGCCTGGCACTTCACATGATGTACTCTGCAAGTAAGTTAAATAAGCAGAGTAACAATATACAGCCTTTACATACTCTTTTCCTGATTTGGAACCAGTCTGTGTTTGATGTCCAGTTCTAACTGTTGCTTCTTGACCTGCATACAGATTTCTCAGGAGGCAGGTAAGGTGGTCAGGTATTCCCATCTTTTTAACAATTTTCCATAGTTTGTTGTGATCCACACAGGTGAAGGCTTTAGCGTAGTCAATGAAGCAGATGTTTTTCTGGAACTCTTGCTTTTTCTATGATCCAACAGATGTTGGCAATTTGATCTCTGGTTCCTCTGCCTTTTCTAAATCCAGCTTGAACATCTGGAAATTCTTGGTTCACGTACTGTTGAAGCCTAGCTTGGTGAAATTTGAGCATTGCTTTGTAGTGTATGTGTAAGTGACAACTCAAAGATCCACCTCTAGTGGCCTGAACCTGTTCTTATTATAGGGGTTATTTGTAAAGCCACTGAATGTCAGCTATGCTGATTAGTAAATATGGACAGCACAAGCTTGACACGCGCAGGGAGAAAAAAGTCACAGTTTTTCCTTCTACTTCCCCCAACATATTAGAACTGGGGGAGGTAGTAAGTGATGTTTCGAAGAGAGACTGAAATGCAACCTGGAGAAGAGCTGGACAAGCCGCATTTTCCTCTCACCGACTGGCCATTCTGCTGTCTTCCCCAGGACAGGACGATTCCTCAAAGGTACGTGGAAATTTAGCATTATCGCCCCAGCCTGCTCTATTAGTAAGGTGCTCTTAGTCACCCAAAAGCACCGAATCCTATCTTTCCCAGTTCTGTCAGGTATAGACTCTTTCTCGTTATTTAATCTCTCTAGGATGTCCCCAAATTTGTACTTTTGGAACCAGGCCCTGCGCTTCTCGGTCTTTTGGCTAAGATCAAATGGAACCAGGCCCTGGTTTATTTGGAAAAGTGGTCAGCACCTTAAAGATGAGCTGGCTTTGGCCAAAGCATATTCCTTGTCCCAGAAAAAAGCAGGAAGGAGGTGGAAGGTTTGCTTTTGTGGCTCTCGATGGGGTAGAGAGGGGCAGGGGGATGGGAATGGGAGAGAAGCCGGTTGAAATCACTGAAAATAGCTCAGATCAAGCTAAAAATAAGGCAGAGAGCAATCCATGGGTACTGCTCTTTCTTTACACAGATTTCTTTCTTTTCTTTTCAAGCAAAATTAGGGTTCTGCATTTGCTCATAGCCTGAGAAAATGGATTGTAGTATTTCACGTTCACATGGGTAAGTTAAAAAAAAAAATCTAGCTCGTTTCAACTGACACAGCTGAACACTGAAAGGCTGCCAACAAGTTACCCCAAAAGGATGCAGAGAAGGTACATCCCCGGGGAAGTCAGAGCTGCTTCTGTGGCCCCTCTTCCTCCCAGGGCAGAGGGCCGAGCAGGCCGGCAGGGAAGGAGCCTGACTCCAGCAACTGTTGCTCTTCCTTCTACGGCTTCTGCGGAGATGTCTACACTGAGGACTGCTCGATGAGCATGCCTCCAGAGATGCTCAGCTCAACACACAGCAAGGGAGGCAGCCGTCGACACACACGACACCCGGGTCCATCCGCTCCATCCACACAGCCCCAGTCAGACCAAAAGAAGAACCACAAGAAGGTGTCTGTGGTGCAGGTTATATAAATTACAAAGGTTATATAAGGTTACAAAGGTTATATAAATCTTTATCTTAACAGGCCCCTGAGAGTTTTCCCCTTTACCCATAGGTGAAAAAGGCAATGACCAAGGTTTTCCCGTCCTGTAAGTGCTTTGTGCGACAATGTCCGTGTAGATCCGTTCCCATAGCATCTTTGGACCGGTCGGACGCCTTCCTCCGGAGGCCGGTCTCACGTGGGAGGAGCCGGTTCGGGGCGGGGCTTCCCGTTTCTAGGGCGGGTGGTGCGCAGTCGTGGGCGGGGTCAGTCCTGCAGAGAGGCCGTCAGTCTGTCTGTGGCTCCCGGGAAGGTCATCTGGGTAGGACGGGCTGGGGCTGGGGCTGGGGAAGGAGCCGGAGTGGCGAGGCGACTGGAAGGGCGTGGCGGGGGCCGTGGGGGACCTCTTGGGGCTGCACAGGTTTCCGTTGTGGAGCTTCCAGAGTAGCTCCTCGTTCTCCATGGAGAGGCGCTTGTTGACCTTGGACTCCTTCTCCAGAGACTCCTGCAGGACCGCCTGCTCCGTGGAAAGTTGCCTGGCAGGCAGAAGGGAGCCAGAAACCATGTGAGCCTTTTTCTTTTTAAGAGGCTGAAAAAGAATTCTTACTGTTTTAAATTTGAGAGCCCCCAGATGATCTATGGAATGAAAGGAACTGCTTTCCCAGTACATGGGTGCTGGGCTGGCAGAGGAACGCAGGAAGTGTGAGCTGGAGCGGAAGGATAAGCTATACTGTGAGGCAGTTTCACAGTAGACCTAGTAACGCACCCACAGGCAGGCTGTGTGTCTTAGCACCCTCGGAGGTGGTGGGGGCCGGGGGGCTGTTTGCTGCTGTGATGACCCTTCTCTGAGGGCATTCTCCACTTCATCAGCCAGGTTTCCCTGGGAAGGGAAGGCGTGCCTGCTGAGGACTCGGCCTTTGGTCTAGGCCCCTTGGGTGACTGAAGGCGCCACTGGCTGCAGTGATTTCCCAGGCAGAAATCAGAACCTCTTTAACCACTCACTTCAGTCCAGGAGGGACAGGAGTGGTGCTAAGAAAGGAACACTCAGTGTTCATGTCTGAGGCAGGGAGGAGCTTGGGGCAAACAGGACAGTGGCATTTTTACCTCGAAATTGCCATGTGCTTGTCCATCCGAGCTTTTAGTTCTTCATTCTCCTGCTGGAATCGCTTCAGTTTGTCCACCAGTGCTGTGTTATTGTCCACCTTGGCATAAACGAGAGTGCCAACATTCATACATTAAAAATTACATAAGGCCCCTTATTCCGTGAGGTACCTTCCTGATACCAGTGCATACTACAGAGATTTAATTTAGAAAAGTTTTTTTTTTAAATTCTTTTCAAGGTTAACAGTATTTTTATTTAAAAGACTTACTATTGGAGTGTAATTGCCTTACAATGTTGTATTGGTGTCTGCTGCACAATGAAGTCAATCGGCTGTATGTATACACATATCTGCTCCCCCTGCATCCCCCATCCCACTCCTCTAGGTCATCGCAGAGCGCTGACCTCAGCTCCCTGTGCTATATAAAGCAGCTTCCCACTGGCTGTTTTACACACGGTAACGTATATAGGTCAACGGCTACTCTGAATAGTATGCTGAATGTCTCTACACTGATGCACTGCAAAAAAGAATCTACTGCAGCAAAACAGAGCACACGGGTATTACTTTTCAAACGTATGCCAGGGCATGTGAACACCACAC